AAGAAAAGGATTAGTGAGAGACTTGCTGAAATTCCAACTGCCTTTTCTCAAAGCTGCAGTCCCCCATCTTTGCAGAGATAAAGATTATGGTTGCCAAGGAAACAAGAGAGAGAGAGAGAGAGAGAGAGAGAGAGAGAGAGAGTGAGAGAAAGAGAGACAGAAACTTTGTCTCCTTTGGTTTTCCCCAGACTCACAAAGCAAGCCGGGCTGTAGGCAGAGCTGGACAAGATCATAGTAGATTTATAATTTACTTAGTCAAATTTCTTTTAATTCATAGTCGTGCCTCAATGTACACTTTTTCCCCTCTGAATGTTAGGTCTGGCACCTAATTGTCCAATGTCTGACAAATAACAGAGCTTTAAAATTCATTGTCGATGATTAAATTCAAATGCAGGACAGATGGCTTAGTCTGAGTATGTGTCAGACAGGCGAAGCACTTAAGATTTGCAACAGGCAAGACCAGGAATTAACTGCGAAGTTTTTGCATTTATTGATACATTCATATGTATCATGAATATGGCTGTAAAACTTATGTAAGTGTCCAGGCTTTATTCAAAATATTCCCACACAAAGAAACTGTTCTGCTTTTGCCAAGCCAGATGCCCTCATCTCAACCCCATTAACATAAAATCCATTTTTTTCCATGATGTATGAATTGTGTGCATTTTATTCACGCACTCTCAGGATGACAACAGCAGGCTTCCAAACCCCTCGCTTGCCCAGAGCACACAGCTTGATCCCCACTTCATTTCTGTGACCCTTTTTATTAAAATAGTTAATTATTTTATTGGACAAACATTTGTCTGTGGGAAGAAACAGAGATGAACCGAATGAGAACAAGCAAAGGCTATTTATTCAGAGCTTGCTATACAGCAAGGGAGTTAGTTAGCTACCACGGCTTGGCGGTTGGCAGAGACTCAAAAGAAGACCGAAGAGGAAAAGTTCTACTGTGGGCCAAAGGGGAGGCTTTGAGTAGACGGGAGACCAGCGGCAGGTGCTGCAGGTGCACCACAAGAAGCAGGCCGCCCTGTGACTTCGCAGGAGAACGTATTTCGTTTTCTCTGGTTGGTCCTAAGTTGGAAGCCAGGACAAAGATTAAGGAAGCTATCAGTTATTAGTCAAATCCTGGCTGTTTGTTTTTTGTTTTTTAACACTGGGGGTTGAACACAGGATCTTTGGACTGAGCTACATCCCTAGCTTTTGCGGGGGGAACAGGGCCTTTTAAGTCTCAGAGTTAGCATCCTAGGGGAGGCTCAGACTTGGGATCCTCCTACCTCGAGGCTAATTTTTATCAGGGTTATTATTTGGCCTTCTGGAGATAGTGGTCTGACTTCCTATAAATCTGACTTATAGACAGCTGATATTTAGATAATAGGCTGGTTTCCCAGGCTGGTTACTGCAGATTGTGAGTCAGAGTTCTTTTCTTATATATGATCAGGCCAAGATCCCTATGTATAGTCAATCATCCAGTCAATAAATATTTTACAAATAGAAAGTATAAAAAGAGTCATTGTACTCCCAAATAAAAGATCTAATCAATAAATGGGCAACTGAAAATGAACAAACTTCTCAGAAGGACAGTGGCCAATAAATTTATGAAAAATGTTCAACATTTCTGGCTATCTGAAAAACGCAAATTAAAACAACCCTGGGAGTCTATCTCACTCCAGAAAGAATGACCGTCAACAAAATCAACTGGGAACGGATTCTGGCAAAGCTGTGGGGAAAAGGAAGCCTTCTACATTGGGGGTGAAGATGTAATCTAGTATAATCACTAGGGAAGTCCGTGTGGAGAGTTCCCCAAAAACTAAAATAAGAAATTCCATTTCACCCAGCTATTCCATTTCTAGGTATCTCCATGAAAAAAATAAGGACATCATATTACAGTTATCAAGTGTAACTACCTCCCAGGGCCTCCATTTAAATTTTCTACACACCCATGTTTACAACAGCACAGCTCCTAATACCTAAATGTTGGAAGCTGCCTATCTGCCCATCGACAGATGAATGGATAGAGAAAGTGTGGTATTTATATGCAATGGAGTATAGTACTCTCTACTACTCCATCATAAAGGATAAAAGAGTCATTTGTGGGAACATGGATTTCCCTGGAGACCGTAGTGTTAAATGAAACAAATCAGACACACAAGCTTAAATGCCACCTGGTTTCTCTTATATGAAAACACCCAAAATATAAAAAGAGCAAAACAAAAGTTGGGAGATAGCTCTTTCACAGGAGGGAAGGGGACCAAGAGATGGTGGGTGGGGTGAGGCAAGGGCAAGGGGATGGGAACAGAATTAAGATGTGTTAGGTATGCGTACTGACTTTCTATGAGGAACGGAATCACGGTATACTGAAAACACGTACCAATAAAAATAAAAATTTTAAAAAAAACAATCACTTTATGGGACCAAGAGATGGAAACGAGGGAAGGGGGGAAAAAGAATTAAGATGTGTTCTGCATATGTACCAACTCCCCAGGAGGAATGTAATCGTTATTACTGCAAATCTGTACTAATAAAAAATAAATAAAACCAATCACTTTAAAACAGGCTTCTTGGGCTGAGGATGTGGCTCATTGGTAGAGCTCTTGCCTTGCATGCATAAGGCCCTGGGTTTGATGCCCAGAACCGCAATTTTAAAAAGGGGGTGTCTTTCTGGGACCTTATGAGATTGATGTCTGTATGGTGACTTTGTAGGTAAATTACACAGTACTAGAGATACTAAGAAAAAAGTGTCAGTGTACAGTTCAGTAAATTATCAAGTATGACCACCATCCAGAGCCTCCATTTAAATTCTCTACAACCTTCTCTTTGGAAACCAGTTATCGAAGAGCAGTTTGAGTCTGCATAGAGTCCTCATGTCTGGGCAGGCACCCCAGCTGCCAGACTCCTGGGTCATCTCACCAAGCCATGTCCTCAGACCCTGAGGACCCAGGCAGCCCTGCCTCCTAGTCGGCTCTGCTCCCTGGAGCATGGCCCAGACAGCCTGCCCAGACACCCAGCTCCAGCACACCCTTAGGCAGTCTCTCTCTCTCTCTCTCTCTCTCTCTCTCACACACACACACACACACACACACACACACACAACCGGTTCCTCTGAAGACGCAGGTAATACTAAGCCTGCTGTGGCAGGGTTGCTGCGAGGGTGATCAGGCCACCACGGGGAGGCAAACCTTTCAGAGTCCCGGCACTTACGTATTTTTCCCACTGACAGGTGAAAATTACTTTGGACCTGCTCTGTGTCAGGGAGGACCTTGGTGCTTTGTCTCAAGCTTAGTGTGTTATTAATTCTTGCTATGTGACAGTATTAGTCCTGCTGAGAAATGCTGCACTTACCTACATTTGTGGTGAGGATTCAGTGAGATTCACATCGAATCCTTAGCAATCCCCTGCTCAGGGGAGGCACTCAGAAAGCCAGGCCGCTTACAGTGGCTCCGATTAGCCGCAGCAGTAGGTAGCCCCATCCATGCCAGGGTCTGTGTAACTGCCCATCCAATGTCTGTCCTTCCTTTGTTCCTTACTAATAAAATCACGACTATGCACAGTGAAAGCACTCCCTCTGCAGCTTCCCTTTCATCTCGGGAAGTTCCCAAGACCTAGTTCTGGCCAACAAGAGGGAAATGTGAAGTCCCCCAAGTGAACCCATTGGGTGAACTATTACTACTCCAAGAAAAATGTAGAGTCCCCTCCAGCATACATCTTTCTCGTCTCCTTTTGCTGCCTGGAAAGTAGATGTGACGCTGAGATACAAGCGCTATCTTGTGAGCATGACTAACGGCTCAAGCCCGGATGGAAAGCACGAAGAGCCCCAGGCCCCTGACAGCCCTATGGCGGTGCAGTCCCAGCCCTGGACTGCCAACTTCCAACGGTTCCATCGCTGCTGCCAGGCTGCTACGACACTTGGCCAAAAGCCACCCAAAATGTGTCTTGGCTGACATGAATGCTTGAATGAAGGGACAATTAAGAACTTGAAGTATCTCCTTAATGTCCCAGCTGAAATGACAAAAAAATGCCAAGAATGAAAGGTTTGCAGTCATCTCTCCAGGAATTTTCCTCCACCCTTCTAAGGATTAACATCAAGGCTTTCAGAGAAGCCAAGTCCCACCCATAGACTCCTGACTAACTTGCCTTCCTTCGCAATTTGGTGTCATACACGCAGTGTCACACACACAGTTCCCATGGGCTGTACACACTGTGCCTTTCCAAAGGCTTGGTCCTATACCAGCCTCGCCCAGCGTGAAACCTTCTGTCGAACCTAAGGCATCTGCCCTGGCATCTTGGTCAAAGTCCAAAAGCTGTAATTGCATTCTGATACTTGTAAGTGCTCCCAGAGTTCCAATTAGGTAGTATTTATTTCCCAGCCATGAAAGATTATGCCCGACATAGCTCTGCACACTAAAGCAAGGGGTCTGGCCTAAGTGGTAAAGGTGTGATAAAGTCCTCAGTGTGATAGGAGCCACCACGAGGGTGGGACAGGTGCTTCCACCTGGTCACACAGAGCCAGCCGGGGGCAGCCGGTATCTTGGAAGCAGCTGAGTTGGAAGGGTCACACTTGTTTCCCGTGGTCATTACCAAGAAATGAACTGCAGGTAGTTTTACTTCCCTTGAATGACTGCTAAGGGGGGGTGTTAGTACATGAACAGGACCAAACTCCAGCCCCATCTCCAGCAGCTATCAAATTATAGCCCACCTGAGGAACACAAAAACTAAATTCCTCCTAGTATACAGTCTGCTATCTTAATACTACACAGTGACTTTGTATTCCAATGAATAAGTGATACATAAACAAGGTATGCTGCTCTGCTGAAAGAGGTATCTCACGGGCCAAACGTTTTATTTAATGTGCAAGACTTTAATAAATACTTGACAAAACAGAGAAATAAAATACATTCGGAAAAATATTTGAAATGACCCTTTTGGATTAAATGAGAAAAGCTCAAGTTTTCAATGCCTAAAGTTACACTGCATTCCAATCAAGACAAGACCTCCACACACAATGAAGAGAAAATCTCTAATAATTTATTGACCTTCAGTTTCACATTGTGAAAAAAAAAATAACAGTTTTACAAAACCTCAAAAATGTAGTAGTAGCAAACAAGTACATAGGAACACGAACATTTTACTAACTTATAGAGTTCAGTACGTGAGTCACATATTCAATAGCCAAGAGGGGGATAGTACACGGCTCTAATCACTCTTATTCAGACAGGTGTCAAGCCCAGAGAAAGGGAGCTACACAATTATACCAGAAGTGGAAGGCTGCCCTTTGTTATCCGTTTCTACAGCAACCAGCCCACAAAATAAGAAGAACCTTCTCTGTCTTATGCCAAAGTTTTTTTGTGTGTACTGTGCTGTGAATTGTATTTGCTTCAAAGTGCAGGGCATTTCACAGGGTGCGAATGGTCAAGTAGCAATCCCAAATGCCTGCATCAATTCAAAGACCAGGAGCCCAGAAAGTTCCTCGCAGGCTGGGGGCCCACCCTTTCGGTGGCTCCCGCTGGCTCACACATAGTAATTAATAGAGGATTCAAGGACGGGCCACAACTTTGAAACAGCTGCAGAAAATTCTTCCTGCTTTCAGAGCCACACAGTGACACATACATCTCTCGACAGATTTGCATCATAAACTAGCTGTAACTGCGACAATATAATGACCCTGACTATGCTGCCAGGAGACAATTAGACATTTGCATTGCTTAGAACACATCCAAGGACTCGCTGCTGGAGAGCACTGGGATTCTTTTATTCCGACGGCTCATTTATGTAATTTGGTCCAACTACAGTCTACTTGGCCACGGCATGGACAGACATGCACACTGAAAGTATTAATGTGGAGGAAAACGTTAAGGGTTTATCTGTCATCAGACGATGCAAACACTCACAACATCAAAGGTTATCAGTCTTGACCCTATTTTCTAAGATACAGCAATATGAGAAACATGGACAAAAGCAGATCAAATTGCAAACTCTGGTTTTCCCCAGACAACTCTGCAGAAGGAAGCACCTACGAGTCTAGCACTAATACCTACCACGGCACAGGGTCAGTAAATAAGCACTCCACAGAGCAAAGAATGTATTCACAACTGGCTCCCAGCTGGACCAGAAAACCTCTCCACTGGGCCACTGCTTACATTTCTTTGGTGTTTTGTGACCCATCGTGTCACTTCTGTATACCAAAGAGTTCTCCCAACTTTTACCTAAAGAAGAACAACAAGTGTGTCTTGTACCACTCTGAGTGTTTCCCTAAAGAACTTGTAGCGCTTGCTCAATCAGACTGCAAGGAGTCAAGCGAATGTGGTCAGTAAATTAATTTGGGCCTGTGACATTTTCATTTTTCCCATCAAGTGTGGCTATGGCAAAGCTTTCTCATAGGGTAATAAATAGTTAAATAAATAAACTTTGGACAACATCTTTATCTCTGCCCTATATACAGAACTAGTCCATAGGATTTTCCAGGATTTCAGGATATTCTACAAAGAAAGAAAACAAAAAAACGTAAAGCGATTTGGTCCTTTCCAAATTTCAGCAGCTGAGACTGAAGTTAGGTAGCAGACGGAAAGGAAAAGAGCAGAAAGAAGAATTCTACTTTCATCCTCCCAGCCATCTGCATGACCATGCCCCATGAAACCCCATTAAAAGGTGGGCATCTAAGAAAAGTGACCCCCCATGGTTTCAGTACCTCTGGGATGTAATTTTCATTTTCTGTCTTGTACTCTTTCCCTGTCTTGACATTTGAACAAACCCCCCCAACCCCCCCACCCTCCAGTTATGCTCCAACTTATAATTCAAAAGTTTTCATTTTGTGCAGCAAAGCACATCAACAGCTACAGAATGTGCAAAACATACAACTGTTCACACACGTCCATACACGTGAAGACAACCGTAAGAATTGTTTCAGCATGCAGGCATCGAACAATAAATAGCTAAATCTATAACAAATTTCTTAACAGCCAAGGGAAAGTTTAAAGTCACTTATAAATAGAAAAGCACATCTACTACTCAACGGTTAACTACAATAATGTCCCCATTGTTCGGACGGTCCTGGGAAGCACAGCCCACCCCTTCAGGATTAGGGAGAGTCGGGCGCTCCTCATTCTTCAGCCAGCCCAGCCAGCATCCCTCCCGGCCCACACTGGGGCTTTGGGCTTTGAACCTCCAACAGCAGCTGGTGTGAAGAAGGCTTCAGGCTCGCTCCTCAGAGAGAGCTGACAACCATTTCAAATTTTACACATAAATGGTGGAGCCCATGGAAATCAAATGCTGAATGTGGTACAGCAAGAGAAAAGGTCCAGCTTTTCTTTCCCTTTGAGGGGCTGATTAACGCTGACATTAATCCACAATTACAAGACAAGGACTAGATCACAGGTTCACCCATTCATATTTAAACCATGTGCTACTCACACGGAAAGCCCCACCCCCTCCCTCACCCCTTCCTTCATGTCCACGAGGGGCACCGCCAAGGTGCGGTGGGTGTTGCTCGATGCCGGTGCCTCTTCTCACTTCATTACACTTGGCTTCTCCAAAGCAGAAATCTCGTATTGTCTCTCACCCGGTGATGGGGGAAGCTGAAACAGAAAAAGAAACAAAGAAAAAAAAGGAAGCATGAAGGGTTTGTCTAAATCACCACTTTGAGAACTTTTTCAGTAATTACAAAATTTTTAAAACTTTCACTCCGGACAGACATGGACAATACTGCTTCTAAGGGTCTTAATTGTATGTTCAGCAGGAACCATGCAAAGATTGTCAGAACGAACTGAATGTATGCACACAGGTACACGCATGCCCATGCAGATGGCAGCCTGACCAAAGACAACAGTGTCCAAAGGAGGCCTTTACTTCTTCCCGAAACATATGTTCAAATTCAAATCTATGCATTTAGGTGCATCTGTTGCCAACATTCATAAAATTCCTGCTTAAACAGAGTCACTGTGAAGTGATCACGAGGGGATCAAAAGGAGGAGATTCCTATGCAAACCCTCCAGGCCTAGTTACCATAAAGGATTTCAAATTAAATTTATTCACCATATAGAAAGCAGACCTATTAATCCTCTTTATTTAAATGCATCTCTATGATTTATTATGGCAGAAATCAGTCTTACTGCCTTTCATATGACCACGTACCAGACAGACCAAAGCTGGAGTTCATTCTCCGAGTCCGTTAGCACAGTACTATTATCAATGGAATCTACCAACTTCAGGGTGCATATAAACTCGAGCTACTGTGACCACCAAGCTTGGCGTTTTCTCGCACTACTCACTCTGCCCACTTATTTATATCTGATTTCATACTGGGAAATCTTGCACAGGGCTTTTAAAATACCCAATCTGCTCAGAAAGCACACTTCTAGGTCTAGTTTTGGAATCTGTATTCCTGCGCTGTAACTCTTAAGTATAGACAAAGGGAATGCTGAAGAGGCCATTCATTAATTTCAGTGAATTCTTCTCACTTTGCTTTTATGTGTTCAGGAGTCTGATTCACTTCCTTGCTGTTGCTTTTGGCTGTTTCCTAACAGTGATTCAAGCCTTCAAGGCATTCCTTAGACTATGGTGTCATCCCCCAGCTCCACCTCCTTGCAACCTGTATATCCACATTAGCTGAAAGAATGTATCTTGTAATAATATAAAATTTCAAGGCATTGCACATTCACACAGGAGAGGGGGGCTCAAAGAGAAGAAACAAAGCAAATGAAAGTCCCAGTGCTGTCTTGATAGGATCACAGGCACCATGAAAATAGAGAATAATCAAAGTAATTTCCTCTCTGTTCTTCCCACCCACCGATGGAGCAGCAGGAGACACAGTAGTTAAAACTTCCTTGGCAGATGAGCTTTTAGACCAGGGAGGTTTTTGTCAGCACTAGATTAATTCATTTAGCACCTCCACTGGAAGAGCACGGGGCCAGGGCTGATACCTACTGAGTGCTTTGCGTCACTCCATCCAGCTTGAAAGTTTTAGCACTATCTGGTGTGCAGTAAACTTTAGAAATTTAAACCAACATTCTCCCTGTCAGACACTGAAAGAGTAGCTTTGATCAGGCGCTCACGACGCCCGTTAAAAGCAGCAACCCTGGCCCTGTCAAATTCGGTTTTATGTGCTTGACTCTGGCTGGGGGCAGCAGGGTGAAGAGGATGTTGTTTCACATATAGCTCAGCACTTTATTTGCTCTGTTTCCCAGGGACCGGAAGTCTGTGATTAGGTTCAAATAACCAGGACAGGGTGAATTCAAGTGTTTGCCAACATGCTCTGGCTGAAAGCGGAGGAACCAGAAGCGAAGACCCAAGACAACAGATAATGGTCAAAGAAACCTGATTTTCCCACCACACAAAAGCTACCTCCGCTAGATCTCGGACCACAGTCTCCATTGAAAAGAGGAAAGAAAACTGTAAATACTGAATATATGCCAGGCACTGGGTTAGGTACTTTTGTCCAAGTCTGAATTTGGACAGATCTTGGGGTAAGTAGAGTTCAAACCACTCATTTCACAGAGGAGCAGTCTCAGTGCAGAAGAGATCTAAAACTTAAAGCTAGGACCAGAACAAATAGCTGCGGTCTCAGTGTCCTTACGTGGCTCCAAGGATGCCAGTCGGTCTACTAATTAGCATTATGGATGCACCATTACCGTCCCTGGCAATTTTTACGTCTCTTCTGCACACATACACTCAGTTCTGGATGAACACCTAATTTAGTGCTGTTAATTGAAGCTTTTGCCTAGGAGGTTCTTTAAAACTACTTGGGAGTTGAGTCATACATTCATATCTCAAATGAAATAACCACTTGCAGAGCGTTTGTTTATTCAGGATTACTGAGATGCCAGCAAGGCTGCAAAAACCAGTTTGGTGTGGGACGCTGTGCACCCGGTGGCTTCCCAGAGCAGGCGTCTGACTGTTCCCGCTCCTTTGAAGGAGCTTCATTCCAAGGAAATACTGCTTTACTAGGAATTCTGCTAACTGTAACAGACTGGAGGAGATAACCGAAGAAGCAAAAGAAGCAAAACGAACAGAAAGATGAAATGTGAAAGTGAGGCTATTTTAATGTTTTATATGAGCTGTAAATAAGAGAAGGGGAAAGAAATACTGCAGAAAACAGGGCCAGAAGTTCCCAAGTCATGAGTTGGCTTTCACTGTAGTGCCTCCAAAGCAATTATCTTCTTCTCTTAGTATTATTAGTAATAGGCCCATGAATCACCTAAACAAATCTACACATTCCTTGTGTCCTGTGCTACACTTACACGTGCATGGGTGATTCTGGGACCAATCCTCAGAGTGCTTAGCAGGAGCAAAGCAGCCGTGAGCTTTGCCTATACTCAACTTGTAGGCTGATTAATTATTACAGCCAAGAGTATAATACACTGTTAAGTACACAGACAACCATTATGGACCCAGATATGACACTTAATACAACTTTTGTTAGTCCCAACAATAAGGCCAGCCTGACTAATTCTGAAAGGATGCAGTTATAGGGCAACGGGTCAGTGTATCTGCTCATCAAAGGCCTACAGTGTAGGTGCAACTTTTCACAAGGACAGTTCTAGAATCCTCCTTACAGTTAAGAAATGCCCTAAAATGGGCTATATTTTGAGGGAAGAAAAATTTACATAATCTAATACTCAGTTTGGAAAGAGTAAACTAGGAAAGAACTTGAGCGACACATTTTTTAAATCCTATTCCATCCAGAAAGGGCTTCAGGAAGCAAAATCTAGTATCAGCCTGGGATGACACCCATACAAAACTCAAGTTTACCAAGTGGCCAGTCAGCTGGAGGCTCAAGTGCTATGAGACAGGCTACCTGGGCTGACTTCTTGACCAACTCCACCACTTATTAATTAAGCCCTGCAGGCTTGGGCAACTTGCTCAGCCTCTGTGTGCACCAGCTGTTTTCATCTGCACAAAGAGGAGGGTCGTAACACCCCCTAGGGCTGTTGTAAGGATCAAATGGGAAGATCCATGTGCAACACACAGCACCACCCCAGGCACACAGTGAGGGGTCCAGACACACGAGCTGGTGCCATCGACAGAGGTCAGGGGTTCTCAAGCATGCTGTCCATTAGCACCACCAGAAAAGCTTAAAAATATTCATGTTTGGGCCCTACCCAGATCTCATGAAACAGTCTCTAGGATGGGCAGTTTCTAGAAAGTTCACTGGGTGATTCTGGGGCTCTTGATCACTCAGAACCTCTAGCTTATGAGGGTGTTACAGCTGTGGTCGACACCAGGGTTTAGAATCTGGGGGTATAAAATCTTTTATTTTTACAGTTTTTGTAGTACTTCCCTATAGGTGGTGTGGGTCATCCCAAACTCTCCATTCCAAATGTGAGACAGTCAACCTAATAAAATGCATACTTACGTCTCCAGCACAAACCTTCTCTTACCTCATGCTGTCTTTCTTTAAGATGGACTATGATTAGGAAGGCAGATGTTTCCAGGTGCTGACAAATGCAGTGGGAATCAGCGAGTAAGGGACCGTGGTGATGCTGTTCCATGCATCTAAAGTGGGGTCGTAACAGTCCAAAGTCTTGCACCGCTGGATGCCAAAGTATCCTCCAACCACGTAGAGCTTGTTTCCGGAGGCCACGGCATGGCAGCTCATGCGCTTCGCTGTCACGTCTCCCACCTTGGTCCACTGGTAAGTTTCACTGTTGAATTTATAGGCAGAGCAGGCAGAGAACTCTGTATCTCCGCCCATAATAAAAATCTGGTTCCCCAGCACAGCTGCTGCTGTGTAACGCCAGGGCTGGGGACAGGTGGCAGGTACTGTCCACCTGTTTTCACATTGATCATAACACTGAACCTTGGGGAGCTTGTCATGACTGACACTGGTACCTCCGAAAGCAAACAACTTGAGTTTGGCACTCACTACAGCGGCATTGCTAACACCCTCTCGAAGGGGGGCTACCATGGTCCATTTGTTGGTTGTGGGGTCATAATGTTCCACTTGCTTTAGGGAGACGGAGGGCGAGGCCGGGAGGCAGCCAGTGGCGGCCGTGTGTCCCCCAACCACATACAGACAGTGCTTCAGTTCAGCCGAGCCGTGGCCAAACCTGGCCACCAGCATGGGGGCAGCTTTGGACCACTCCTCATGCAGGGTATCATAGACCCAGACATCTTTCGAGACTCCATTTTCAGACCCCCGGCCCCCAGTAATATACACTTTGCAGCCGATGGCACACGCACTGAACTCTTTCCTTGGGCTGGGAATATCAGCCTTGGGAATGATTTCTTTGGCCTTCTGGTCTACCAGATACAGCTTATCACACATGAAAGTCTGTCCTCCCAGGAGGAAGAGGGCATGGCCTGTTTTCCGAGGCCGGGCACAGAGGCTGGTCACCACACCGTCATTCTGCAGGATTTTCAGTTTGCACCGGATGGCCTCTTCCACAATCTCCTTACTCTTTCTCTGTTTGGTGATGAGCTCCTCCATGGCCACCTTCTCCATGAGATAGATGGCAGGCAGGAGTGCCAGCCTCACCGTCTGCAACAGTTCTGGGAGGTAGCAATAGCGCTTCTTCAGGTCGTAACTGATCCAGTTAATTGCAGACTCATATACAAGCCTTTCATCTTCTGTCTCCAACTCTTCACTGGATAGGAGCTGCACAACCATGTCCTGTGGCAGCTGGAGGAAGTCTTCATTCTTCCTGATGGTTTGGAAGTTGCTGAGACACATTCTCCAGGAGAGTTCGTACAGCTTGGTGCATTGGTGCGCATCGGACAACAGCAGCATACCCAGGCAGTTGGTGGGATGCAGGTTCTTTTCCAGGAATTCGGCACATGCATCTCTTATGTCTTGAAACTCCAGCATGTCACCAGCTTCCAGGAGTGATTCTGCATTTTCTTCATTGATGATGACCCGGGAGGAGTATGCATAGTCAAGGAGCAACTCCAAGACTTCTGGGTGGATGGAATTGTCAAAGTTGACTTCACTGTCCTGGCTCTCTTTCAGGCCACCGCTGAACATGGCTTCAAAGTAGCGGCTGCACGCAGCCAGCACCGCCCGGTGGCAAGGGAAAGTCCTATTTCCAGCGTGGAGAAGCACATCAGTAAAGAGGCGTTGCTGCCGTAGAAGGTTCAAGTGCGTGAGGACACTGTCAGCGTAGGAAGACTTGTGAAACAGATAGATGTTAATGGAGCCGCTGCTGGCCCTGGACTTGCGGTTCTCATGCACACTGACTGACATTTTGTTTCCACTCCCTACAACATAGAGCAAAACAAAACAAAATAAAGGTTCAACAAAAGGCTCCTGATGTTCCCAGCAGCCAAACAAAAGCAACACTCATTTTGGACAAAGAAAACTGGATACTTTGTAGTCAGCCCTGCTGCCTACTTTTCTGACAAGGGTAAGGCCATTCCATAACAAAGCCTATGACAACTGCCTGGAAGCAACCACCTTGGCTGTAATAACTGTTGAGCTGTTAGAACCACACTGTTAAGAGGAAAAAAAAAAAAAAAAATCACTGCTTAAAAGCAGGTTCATCTTGGAAAACCTGACTGCCAACTTCCACGACACTGAAGTCCTTGAGAATGTAAGTCAGCAAAAGCCAAGGGGAGTAGGTCTCGCACAGCTCCTTGAGTCCAGCTGATTCACTGCAAGGCCACTTAAAATGCCAAACCCCCTGCTCTCGTAACGCCAGGTCAGGTTCTGGCTTTCATGCCCTCTGCTACATAAAGCTATGTGTAAAACAAATACCTTATAATTAATTCCATTAAGAATTCCTTTGGTAAGGTCCAAACTCCACATACATAGTCAATGCCCAACTTCTGCAATGGCCAGGCCTTTATTTAAATGTTAACAGATAATTTCTAACCAGATAGCTCTCCCACTGCAGCGTTTTAAATGGACTCCAGCATAAACATTACCATATATTGATCAACATGCTTAAAGCAAAAGTACAGAGTGGATTCCAGCCACAGTAGCCACCCATCTTTCTTGCTCTGGACAGCTTCCAAAATGAGGATTTGGCACAGAAAAAGAAGAGTATTTTGAGTAGTGCACTACTGCTGCTTTTCCATTTTTTCCAGCTCTGCAATAATTTTTGGAAAGCCAGTCCCAAGAACAAAGGATGCATTCACCCCCTCGTTTGATTAAATGGTGTTCATGGTTACCTGCAAATACTGGCACCTGCATATAGGAAGTTCAAGATGCAAACATTGCCTTATTTAAATTAAAAACCACACAGGCGTGTGTGTGTACACATAGATGTATTCTTTTGCCAGCTATGGTTAATTGAGGACCATCCTAGAATTTATTTGCTGACTAATATGTTTTCCTGGATATTGAAAATTACAGCAGAACTAAATTCTACCTTTTGGTTTTCTGCAGTAAAAAACGTAGGGTAAAGACATGGGAAATACCTATGATCTATCTTCAAACACCAAACCCAACCCCTTGCATACAGACTGTATTCCAGCCCTCTGCTAATTCAGAAGAATCAAGCCCTTAAGAACCCTCCTCCTTCCAAGGGTTCCTAAGGAAGATTTTTATCCCCAGAGGGTAAACTGTAGCTGGTTACAGTGTCAGTTTCAAACCCAGAGGCCTCATAGCTCAGCTGAAACCATTTGTTTTTCCTTCAACTACTCAATATTTATTTTTTAATTTATGTTCCATTTGTTAATAAATGCAAATGAATGGTTTACCAGATGTATGGTGTAGAAAATCTAAACTACACTTTCCCAACCAGCTGGGAGAGAAGGCACTGAAAACAAAAGCAGGTGCCTCCCATGACGGTGACATTCAGATCACATATCATTAAGTAATGTAACTAGTTTGCTTTTACTGTTGAAATGTAACTTTTCATTATGTATAAACATGGCTTCCTAGGAGGTAGTAAGCAACACAGTCTAACACTTCGAATTCTGGCATTGGACTTTATAAAGCACCTAGAAATCTCCAGGGACTTAGGATGTAAAAAAGGAGAGGGGTCAAGCATCACCCCCACCTGAACTCCCTCTACCTGCAAGTCCATCTTAACCAAGGCCCAGAGATCTAGAGAATGAGCACTAAGGGTGCCTACATGCACCAGATTTGTGGAGTGTTCAGACATCTACCTTGTATGCTCCACCGCTGCGGGTGCCTTCTGAATGAGTACATTCAACTTTTAGTATTTGGAGGAAGATTGAAAGTCTAAACCTGTCAATACTATACTCCTAGGAAGCTGCCTTTCCTCTAAAGAAAGGAGATATCTCTGGCAGAAGAACTAGGTACAAGCATCAAAGTGCCTGCTCTTTGGGCTGGAATCCTTGGGGCCCAGACACGTGCCTCTGAACGTGAGATTCGCAGGTATAAAACAACATTCCCAACCAGGTGCACACTTAAGAAAACAGTTTGTTTAGAGGACCTCGGGATACAGGATGTGTATCGCTCTGCACCCTGTGTTTATGCTGCTGTCTTTTCCAGGTTGGCCCAGAAAGCCAGGAGGGAGAGCGCAGCTTGTCGTCTTGGATACCATCCAAATGGAAAAGAATGTCACCATCAAAGTTTAACATTCCTGCAGTAATGTATGATTAAAATAAAAGGTGCACTTGAAAACCCAAGGGAAACAACTTGCTTCCTGCTTTGGAATTAGGCAAACATCAAAATATCGGCAGAAGACCATTTAGACAGTCACCAAACGCACCTTCAACACAAAGTGAAACATTCTGTTGGCATTTTTGAAGCCCCTAGAGGTTCAATATTTGCATGCCACAGACAAGGACAAAAAAATGCACACATATACTTAACCTGCTTCTACAAAGAAGACAGAGAAAAGGGCTGCTATTATTGTGAACATCAAAGGGGCTTTTAGTTCCAGTAACTTCAATTCCCTTAAGGCTCCTTAGGCTCTCTTCCTGCAATGTTTAGCGCCCCCAAGTCTTCAGACTGTGAGCCGGATTGCAGTGCCCGCAATAGGGAAACTAGGCGGATATTCTCAAGTCCTCACACTACTGGTAACAATGCAACATCATAAAGACCTTAAAAATAATTTTAACACCCAACCCGCTGCAATAGTTGCAACGCTCATGCGCTGACCGTGCCTGTGAGGACGACACCAAATTGCATGTCCAACTAGTTCAGTTTCACCTCCACCCCGCCCAGCCATTCCTATCCTTTGATTAATAATGTTACACTGAAAGCCAAGTGCACGCACGAGAAGCCAGTTTTTCAGAAACCAGTTTTCATTCATTTCCCACAGACGTCTGGCCACAGAGAAGCGCCCCGCACGAGGGGTGTCTGCGAATGTCCCCAACTTTCCCCGGAACCGGGGAGGCTGCAACGTGAGCCAGGCTGGCGGGTCGGGTCCCCACCGTGGCTTTCCGCTCCCCCGCGGCTTGCCCGGGCAACGCGCGCTGAGGGGAGGCCCCTCCCGCAGGGTCGGGCTGCCGCGGGCGGCACCAGGACAGGGGCGGCCGCCGGGGTTCCCCCCAGGACAGCTGCCCCGGCCCGGCGCCCGCAGCCCCAGCCACCCCTGGCTCGCCGCGGCGCCCGCAACAGGTCGGGGTGGTGGGGGAACTCACAGCAAGTGGAGACGCCTCAGCGACAGCAGCTGGGTTCCTGCCTCGGTCACGGGCGGGGAGGCGACGAGGCGAGCGTCTCGGTCCCGGGCGAAAGAAGTGCGCGTGGGGCGCCAGCCGAGAGGTGGTCTCTGCCGGGGCTGGGCACGCGGAGCCCACGCGGCAGGCGGCTCGCCTGGTTCTCGCGGCCCGGATCGGGCCAGCAGCGTGGCTCCGGAGCTTGTCGAGGAGGCCGGCGAGCCCGCGGCCGCAGGCGCCACGGAAGGAGGCGGGCGGTGCGCGCTGGGGGAGGGAGCTCAAGCGCCGTGCGCGCCGGCGGCCGCCTGGCGTCTGCACCCGGGCTCCGCGCGCCACCTCCTCACCGGCTGCAGAGCGCTCTGCGCCCAGCCCCGCGCGCCGGGCTATAAGCGGCGCGGCGGGAGAGGAGGGAGGGGGCGCGCATGCAAAGATCCGGCACGGGGGAGGGAGGAAGAGGGGGAGGAGGGCGGCAGGAGGAGGGGGAGAGGAGCCGGGGAGAGCGAGTCGGGAGTGAGCGGAGGAAGCGGGGGAGGGGCTCGGGAGCGCAGACAAAGCGGACGCACGCTCCCAGCCACTCCTGCTGCAGCCCTCCGCGAGCGCGGATAAAATGAGTTTTCCGGGCTCAGAGATCTGCGCCTCCCTGCAGCCTAGCCAGGGATGGACCCCAGAGCGGAGGGACCCAGCACAAGGGGGGACAGGCAGGGCCGCGCAGCCCGGTGCGCTCCACGGTGTCGCAGCCCGCGCCGCCCGAGACAGGGTGGCCCGGGCCGAGGGGACGTCTGCGGCAAGCACAACTGACCCGTAACGGGCTGGCGCGTGGGACACCGGAGGGGGACAGTGGCGAGGGAGGCCCACAAATCTGCTCACTGTGGGGACACCGGGGTGGGGCAGGACAGGATTTAGGCTTCTCGATGGCAGGACGGACTCGAGAGCCGTCCCCCCCAACCCGCCGCCCCGGACCCCCACCCGCCGGACTCTGCCCGGCGCGCCCGGCAGCCGGGCCTGGGAGCTGTCCGGCCGCGTGCTCAGCAGCCAATCGCCTGTGCTGAGCGAGCTCTGCCCCTGCCAAAGCGGGGAGCCGGCACCTCTCACACCGGCCCTGCCTGCGTTTTACGGCTTGACGTTGCCTGGAGTTCACTAGAGAGCCCAGCACACACACTCTCGATGCCTGTGTGCCAGGCGGAGAGGTAGATCATTCGGAAAATAATCTCGCGGGGCGATCACTAGGAATCCTAGGCACTAAGGCCTTCTCTCTCCACTGCGAGCTAAAGTGCCCGGGTTCCCCCCCACCTCCCGCTCGGTATTTGGAATAAAGTCTATGAATGAACTGTGGCGATTACCGCTCCAGCCCCTTGTCTCCCAGGTGAGAAAACCGTGGGCCAGAGAATTGTGAATCGCCTGGCAGTGTGAGGGCCCCGCCGCTGCCCGCCCCCTCCTCTTCACCCTCCGTTTTCCTTGAAATACTAGGTCAGAAATGGTTTAAACTGGCTGAAGAACGCTCTACCTGGAGCTTCCAGGGACCACAGGCTTCTGAGCTCAGACTGTGAGTCCTTTATCCAAGTTCAGTTTCCCTCTGCCGTTGCACTCGCGCTGAGAAATTTCGCTGCTTCCAAAGAAAGACACTGCCCTCTGAAGTCCTTTGTTAGTATTGACTCAGCCGCACCGAGAGCCCTTTAAAATCTGTTTTGCATTTTAATGTTTAGAGCAGAGTCCTGGCTCCAGAGAGCTCCACAAAGCTGGAGAGGCCCGATCCGCTCAAGGTAAGAACAAGGTGCAGGTCCAGAGGGCCTGGCAGCCGAGGAAAGGAGGCGAGCAGAGCGGGTTCCTGCAGGAAAAAAAGGAGCAGACCAGCGGAGACCAAAGGACTAGAAACTCTGTAGACACCAGAAGCAAGTGTTGAAAAGATGGAGGTGGGAACGTGTAACTATTCCATGGGTCTTTTAAAAACATGTTTCTGGGGCCTGTGGCAAGTGTGGGAAGCCATCAGGATAGAATCCTTTGTGCCTTCGGGACACTTTCTAGCCGTCTTTGTCTGGGTCATGAGTAAAACCCAAGCCTGTTGGTTTTGAAGACCAAATGTTGACATCATCCACATTCTGCATATGATAAGAGTCAACACTTTTCCTCCTCAGGGAGTGTGTCCTTCTCGCTCCAGTCAGACGGTCCTTGATGAGGCCCACAGGAACAGTTGGTGGCCTAGCGGATCCCAGTTGGTGGCCACAAGGCGCCACCACAGTGGGAACTGGTAATCTGTGTTGCACCTTTACCCCCTGGAATTTGCAGTGTCCTTACCCAGGAGACAGCAAAGTTCACTTCTCTTTGCAAACAGCTTTACTAAGGAGGCAGGGCTGAAAATGGAATGAAATCTCCAGCCTTGTGTCATCAGCCACAGGCACCATTTTTCTGTGTCTTTTCTACCGTGTGCTGTCACTTGCTGGGCATCAATAAGAGAGGGAAAGGTTATGTACTGAAAAAACTTGAAACGTATTCAGTGACCGCATACACTGCTTCATCTGTCTCAGGGAGATAAGCAACACAAAGGTAAAGAAATTAGTTTATGTAAGTTGTGCAAAATGGAGAACATTTTCCTGCTGGAAGATGCAGGAACTAAGCTTACATTTTGGGAAAGTGCGTGTGCTGGCCTCCTATACAAATGGTACGCTGCGTCGCCCATGCCCATCTATCAGAGTTTTCAGGCTGTTGGGCAATTGCTTGTGGCTATCTCACAGCTGAATGTGATTTGCAAGTTTGCATATTTATGACCTAGCAACTCAAACTGTAATTTCTACAGGCTCTCCAAGCCAATCCTAAAGTAACTCTTGTCACCCACTTAGCTCCCGGAAGATCAGGTGAGGGAGTCCTACACAGAAGGAAGCCTCCTGCAGGACTGTGAGCGAACTGGACTAACACAGACAGGGATGTCCAGGTCACAGACAGCTCGGGAAATGCTACCTCCCTGTTTTGTGCAGCCCCCTGGGAATGTGTCTCTGCCTCTGCCTTGTGACACCAGTCCAAGGTCTCATTCTTTAATGCTATTAAGAAGCTACAGCGGAGGCTTTGGCCTTGTTATCTCCTCTCACAACCGTTACTCTGTTAGCTTGCAAAATAAACAGCATGGGGTTAAATGTATTAGCTGTCTTCAGACCTAATGTATCTTCATTCCTTCCTAATTTACACTTGGGCTGAATTAATGAGAATGATTTAATTAACATGGTGCAATGCTGGTAGCAGGGACAGGATGGCCCAGAGATTAAACCAAACCGTGAGCCAAGCAGCTGCCATCCTGCCTCCTGCTGTCTCCCAGAGCCCCACCTGAATTTCAGACAGGTTCCCTGCTGGCACTGTGTTCCCTAAGCACCCTCTTTATTCTGTTATCCACCTCCGGGATCTGTGAGAGGAGGATGGTACACTCTCCTTCCTTGGTTACTTGCTAGATAGCTTGAGCTCTATAGAATCTGTGTGGCCAGGGGCCAAATGGCAAAGATTTGTGCTGCTTCTTCTGTGCATCAAGTCCATGGCGAGACGTGGGCGCCCAGCTAACTGGGGTGGACACCTGTGGAAGGCAGAGAGATGATCAGCCAGGCGGAGGGAGAGGTTGAGCTGGGACAGTCTTTGCCATGGCCCCAGCCAACCCATGGGGACCCCTGGAACTGGACAACCCCACAGAGTTTTCCCTGTGAAGGTAAGAGTGCTAAGATTGGATAAGGCCATATTACCCAGTGACTGAATGCAGGCTGCCCAGGGTAGAGACCATGGCCTGGGGCACACTGGCACCCTTTTGCAGAGGTGACAGTCAAAGGCTTTCTGCCACCCACAGCTGGAGGAGCCAGTCCTTCGTTCCCAAGGAAGGAGGGAGGGGCTCAGCAGCACACCCACCTCAGCACTTAACGAAGGTCTCCAGGCCCAGGAAGTGAGGCCCGAGCTCCCGGCTGCATTTCTCTTATTCTCAAAAGAGGGGGAAGATCTGGCTGCTAAAGAGACCCAGGTAGGGAAAAAGACTGGCCAGCAGCGCAAGAAGCGATGGGCATTCTGTAAGTCAGTCATCATTTCTCTTGCTGGGAGAGAACAAGGAGCTTAAGTTGACAGCATGTTTTCTAAGTCTTGCTTTGCCATCTTCTGCATGTACATCCTTTTAAAATCATTGTTTTTGTTAAGTATCTCTTGTGACAAATCTAGGGAGTGTTCTTAAGAGTGCAGTTGCACTCTTGTCTATTATATGTGCCAACTCATGTGTATCCTGTAAATTAAATTGATTAGAGTATGATTCTCCATTGCAAATTCCAGTTGCTCATAGCTGGCATATATGAATGCAACTGACTTTTGTATTATGATTGTTTAATGAAATTTTTCTGTGAAAGTCTGTTTTTGTCTGTTAAGTGCTAAGTACCACTGTGTGTGCTGACCCCCTCTGTGAAAGGCTGTTCTAGCTGGGAAATTCATTCTTCCTCTGAGACCCCCCACTCCTTACACAGCCTCAGATGGCTTAAGGGGTAGACAGTTTATTGGCTGCTGATGGGACTGCAGAGGGACACATTTGAGTCCTTTTTCCCTGGAATTACTGTGTAAGGCTTGGCCACTAATAAATCAAGTACCTAGACTGCTGAAGTTTTTTCTACTCCAGGGCCCTGTGAAACAATGATTTTACTGTAGGTTATAAGTTTTAGGGGCAGGACTTTAAAACAGCATTGATTATTTTCTATGATTATAACAGCAATGCATGGTAGAAATTTGGAAAATACAGAAAAGAAAAGCCATCCACCCATGACTTTGAGGTAATGACATTGAACATTTAAGTCCCCATCTCTCTGTGTCCACATAGTATTTTATTTTGTGTGGTTTCATGAGTAAGGGCAGTAACTCTCGAATCAAGCTTGAATTCCTGCCTCCATACTTGCCAGCTGGGTCTTTGAGGCAAGGTCTATACTGTAAATTCTTGGTACCTTAGTTTCCTGAGCTGCAACATGGGATAATAACAGTACCTGGCTAGAGAGTTGTTTTGCAGATTAAATGAACTAGCATATGTAAAGCCCAAACCACAGTGCCTGGCTGGGGATAAGTACTCTATTTTGCTTGTTTTTA